CTCCAAACTTGACCTCCAGCCCCTCAAGTTCACTAGATGCTTACATGGACTTCTGATAAAATGAAGATATTATTGTAAGTACAATTATTAGGTTTGTACTGATTCCAGAATTTCTTGTCAAACCAGGATAGAACATCTATATAGCCTCCCTAATAAGCCACTGCTTGAATATAAGGTTACCATAAATACTATCATTCAGAAACAGTAAGATATACTGAAGGTCTCTTGTTTTCCTGACCCTGAGTGGGCTCCTATGGAAATGATGAAGAAGAATGGTTAAAAATAAGTAGGCAAATGAGCATGTTGGTAATTGTATCAGAGATTGATTAAAGCATGCAGCATTGGTCCTCACAGAGGCAGAACAAACTTTGCTTTGGTAGGATTCAGAAAAAGTAAGAACAGATTGCAAAAGTAAAATCAATAAAAAAACCCACAAAGTACAGAGACATACAAAACCATAATAACAACAGCAATATTAGAATATTTACAAAAATGAATTTTTATAACAATGGGTCTGGATTTCTTGTATTCCCAACTTGAGGTGTGTTAGTCCCCATGTTATGCTGACTGTTGGGGGTTTTATTGCAAAGAGGAAAGGCAGAAACTGAAGGCATAATTAATTCTTATCTAAGACATTGTATTGATATTTTACATATGCACCCTTTTATTTGGTTTTATTGCTAAAAACAAAAAGCAGAAAAACAGAGATATAGACAGAGCTCTTCCATTCTGGTTCATTTTCCGAATTCCTGGAAAAGCCATGGCTAGGCCAGATCTGGAATTCCATCTAGGTCTCTCATGTGTGGGAAAGTGATCCAGGCATTTGAGCCAATACGTGAATGCTCATTGTCAGGAAGTGAGATGGATACCAGAGCTGGGATTTGAACCCAGATATGCTCAGAAGAGGATATGGGTATATCAAATGGCAGCTTACCTGCTGCACCAAGCATTTATGCTTTGAAAATATCATCTTTACAAAAATCTGTTTTTTTCTTTTTAAAGAAATTCTTCACAGGTCAAAATACCAGCAAATGTCAAAGCTGGTCTTTTTGGGGACACACTCTGGAGATTCCAGACATTACAGCCTGCTGAGTAATGTCTGAGAGCCAAACCAGCAATAACAGATCTATTTCTGTGTTCACGCTAGGAGACTGAATATATGTTCATCACGTAAATAAAGTGTGAAAATGTAGGGCGCTGGGTGGTGATGCATAAATGTATAGCAAGAAGCTGAGTTGCAAAAACCATCAGCTATTTACTGGGATTATACATGCAATACTAAAACCTGAAGGAAAGAGCATGAATTGAAGATTTTTTTTTTCTCATGACCTGGAAAATTGCATTTACCAATAGGGAATGTCTGAGTCCTTGCCTTGATGAAAATCTGCTTTTCAAGAATAATAACTGGGGGTTTTTAAGAAGTGGTTTAAAATGGTGACCACTTGCTAGATTCACTCCACACCAATACCAGATCCACCGTCTCTGTGTGGATTTGAGATTTGCAAAATGTGTAGTGTAGTACCACTGCATGGAAGAGGTGAAGTAACCGCCTCTTCTCCTTCTTAGGCTTGCAAGGCTCCTGGACTGACTTCCGAAAACATGCTGTGATTTAAAGCAGAATAACTAAAGTCAAAGTTTACCTTTAACCCGAAACTGTTCTTCTTTTTTTCTTTGCCAATCTGTTTCTCTTGATAATTACTTGATAATTGCAATGCATCCTATCCTCCATCTGCTTTGGCTTCTTGGAAAATAAATACCTGGTGGAGTGTACAGGGGAAGAGGAACGTGGTTCACCAGCTAAAGAAAGCAACTTAGAAAAGTGTTTTAAAGCATAGTGGCCATCCTAAGATCCCTGACACACACCATGGATTATCAACGTTAGGTCTTCTCAGACTCATTTCTTTAATAGGAAGGGAGAAACTAGACTAATTTTTTAAAAACATTTTTGAACATCAACAAGAAGATGTGATTCAGAAGCCTAGTTCCAAGGAACTTTAGGAAGATTTAACAAGGACATATTCCAGAATCTGGAGGAGATTCTGGTTCCTACTTTATCTCTTAAAATATGCCAAAGTCCAAGTTACAAGGAGTGCTTGGTTTAGAACATGTTTCCCAGGGATCATGTTTGCCTTTGCACTCCTGCTTTCTTCCAACCTTAGGACTTTAATAGTTGCTCCCAAATCTCTTCCTGCATCATGGGTTGGAATTAGCATTATTACTAGCGAAATGATTATTTAAAAGTAGTGAAAAATGGCTATTTCCACCCCCACCCCCAGTTTGCAGAATTCCCAGGGATTTTTCTTGACACTGCTAGATATGTAATAAAGAGATCAGACAAAAGAATTACATGGGTCAATAAAAAAAAAATCCCCATTCTATCCACCTGGAACTATCCAGGAGATAGTTTAGTGAAGCCATTGTGAATTCAGAGCTTGGCTCTATTTCATAGGATTCAACTTCACAAAGGAAAACTATGGTTACAGTCTTTCATTCCCTTTGGGCTTTTCTTTTTTATTTTTCTGTCCTATCACTTCAATAAAATAAAGGATAGAAAAAGAAGAAGAAACTATCAGAGGTATCCATCCAATATATCCATTTACAGACTTCCTGAAAGATACTTGTATCCATGTGCCCATCATATCAGATTGTCATGACAGGCTTCAGGATCAAGGGACTCAGAGAGAGAAAGAGAGAGAGAGAGAGAGAGAGAGAGAGAGAGAGAGAGAGAGAGAGAGAGAGAAATATATATAAATATAGAGAGAGTTAAGGAAAATTTATAAGGTTTAGTCCCAAAAGAATGTAAAAGTAAAAATGAATCACTTATTTAAGGAGTTGCAATCTTGTATTTTTGACAGTATTAGATGAGAATACAATTTAAGTTTCCCATGTCTTAGAAAGCATTCCAGGGCACAATAAGCAGTGCAAATAGACATAAAAACTAACAAACACACAGAAAGATACAGACCATTTAAAATTTCATTCATCTATATTAAACAAAAGTTATATTTTAGTAAAAATAACCTAGATGGTAGATGCTGCAGCTTCCTGGGGAATAAGCATTATGTTACCCATGTATTTCTGGGGACACACAATAGAGACTATGAAAAGAGAAACACAAATTTTACATATAACAGGAACAAGAATAAATTATAGAAACCTAATCAAACAACTAAAAATGGAGCCAACAAACTCAAAATAGCACCACCACGCTCAATAAATAAACAGTATCTTGGGTTTATCAGAAAATTTATTAGCTTGGAAACTATTGGGAAGATGTTGCTTCATTTGGATTACTAATAAATCTCAGGAGTCTTGGAATATTCTCATATTTTGTGTAGCAAAGAAAAGGCTTGACAGTCATGTATCACATAAGAGCATGACAGCAGGATACAACTATTGAAAGGAAATGACTGCTCATTGGATGACCCATTGGGTAGTTACAGCCTTTTATTCTACGAATAAATCTCAAACGGACTCTCTTCCGTGCATAGACTGGAAACAGAAACAACTTCAAAAAATATTTGAAACAAGGAAAGAGCAGTTCCTTTTCTGATAACAAATACTACAACCTTCCTCTTCATTTTTACCTCACTCCTGTCCAGTTGTCCATAGAACATGATAGAGAGATTACAACAAATGGATAGTGTAGAAGTTGCCTAAGTAACAAAGGAATGGATGGGTTTCCATTGAAATGTCTTTCTCTAGTTGTTCTTGTCAAAATGTATCAGTTCAACCAGGTTCCTTGAGTTGTTCTCCAGAGAGCCAGGAGTCAGAGTCATGCTTTAGAACAAGGCAGAGAGAATAAGCGAAGTATCCCACTTTGGATTTGTTTGGTTTTAATGCTATAGATGATAGGGTTCATAAAAGGCGGGAAAAGGAAGTAAATATAGCTCATTGTAATGTGGACCACATGAGGAGCATGCTTTCCAAACCTATGAATAAATGTAAGCCCAACTACAGTGATGTAGAAGACCAGGATGCAACAGATATGGGAGACACATGTGTTGAGAGCTTTGGCCCTTTCTTCTCCAGAAGCAATGCCCATGACAGTCTTGAGAATCAAAATATAGGAGAAAAAAATGATGAGGAAATCCAATAAAACCATCGCAAACACAACCACGACTGGATAGAGACGATTAAAGGTGATATCAGCACAAGCTAGCTTGATGACATCTTGATGTAGACAGAAAGCGTGGGAGAGCACATGGGATCGACAATAGGGAAACCAGTGTAGACGAATGATTATTGGCATAATTGATAGGCCAGCCCTTGTTAATACTCCCACTCCAATCCTTACTACCCGTGTATTGGTTAGGATGGAAGTGTATCTTAAAGGGCTGCGAATAGCAATGAAACGGTCATAGGCCATTGCAAGCAAGACACCTGACTCTACAATAGAGAGTGTATGGATGAAGTAGGCTTGAGAGAAGCAGGGTCCACGGGCAATCTCCCTATGATTTAACCACAGAACACCCAGAACTGTTGGCATTGTAACCAAGGTCACTCCCAAGTCTGTAGCTGCCAACATAGCTAAGAAATAGTACATAGGTTCATGGAGAGTATAGTCATCCCTAATGAGAAAGAGAAGGGTGCCATTGCCAAGTAGTATGGAAATGTAGGCCATCACTAATGGGATAGAGATCCAGTGGTGTGCCTTCTCCATGCCTGGGAAGCCAGTGAGCAGGAATGGGGAGGCAGTGTTGTTCATTCTCATCACCAATATCACAAAGAAACAAATATTCCTTTAGGTAATGTTGTTAAGTTGTTTACCAGTCTGCAGTGACAGCAAGGATGATAATTTACTCATTTGTTTGTGACTTCTAAGTAAAGAACAGCATGTATAAGAAGCAATTTCTAGATAGTATTCCAAATTTACTATTCATATTATTACTGGAAAATACATTAGGGATACAATTATAATTCCAGAATAAAACTTGCTGATGCTTATGTAAATCATATAACTCAGAAAATGAAGAAAACACTAAAGAAGAAATGAGTAGATTTGAATAATGCTGTAATAGTTTGGGGATTTACAGAATATAGTTCATGCTGCTCTTCATCTTGACTGGTGGTGTTAAGGATGAATGTCAAAGTTCCCAGAGCATGCAAGACATAGTAGATTGTAGAAAACAGACTCTAAAGAGTGTTAGAAGAGCAGTTATGGCAAATTATCCTGCGAAACAAAAATCAATAAAAATAAGCATGCACAAAACTACAATAAAGTGGACTTAGCAGGACTGAGTTCCTGACCGATATTTGGTACATGTGGGTAATCTCTAGAGCAACTAGAGATAATGCAATGACATGAGTGATGTGTGTGTCTCCAAAATAAACATCTGTGTTGTCTATCACTGCAATACCATAGATATAGATGCACTGTTTAAAATTTTGAATTTTTTGTAGTATAGATACAGAAGTGAGCAATAAAATATGGATTTTAGGGTAACTTGTTGAGGGTGTTACATGACAGAACTTTAAAACAAGCTACAGTTGTATGTCACCCATTTGGAGAAGGAAAGACAGAAATTTGTTATTTAGGGGTGGTGCTGTGGTGTAGCAAGCTAAGCCTTTAGCTGCTGCACCAGCATTCAATATGGGTGTCATTTCAAGTTCCAGCAGCTCCAATTACAATTTGACTCTTTGATAACGTTCTGGGAAGATAGCAGAGGAGGAACCAAGTCCTTGGGCCTCTGCACTTATTTGGGAGACCAGGAAGAAGATCCTGGCTTTGAATCCGTCCTCCTCTGGCCATTGCAGCCTGATGGGGGAATAAACCAGGAAATGGAAGATCACTCTGTCTCTCCTTCTCTGTAATTCTTTCAAATAAAATAAATTATTTTTTAAAGAAGTTGGTTACTTAGGTAAACTTAAGGAGAACATTTCTTACAAGTGTGGAATCAAATGGCATTTAACCAAATCGGAAAGATTGTGTCATTCTTTAAAGTTCCAGGATGCATTCTGTTACTGGAAGTCAACATTTGGGAATGAATAAACTGTATATAGACGGCATCAACTAAGAAAATGGGACTACACTGCTATGCTTGATAAATTCTACAGATGTCACATGCTGTGCAAAGAATGTGTTTTTATAAATTTGTACATGATAAACAGGACCTCTTCTTATTCAAGAAAAATTCTTCCAAAATCACTAGATTTCATGGTCAAAATTTAAATTTCAGCTCTGTTATTACATCACTTAACAGTGAGATCTGGTTTCACCACATGTAATCAGTACTGGTGATTTCTGCTCTTCTCAGCTGTACTTTGATACAATGTGCAAAAATATGTGCTTTGATACAATGTGCAAAAATAGACTAAAGTTTTTGAAGGGGAAATTGTAAAGAGTGAATTACTCACTTTTGAGCTTTCTTTGTTGCTTGAAAGAGCCACTTTTTCTGGAGTGTCTGGTGGGTAGACATGATTATTCACTTGGAGATGCATCAATCAAGTGATCTCTTTTAGGAAGACTGGGAAGCAGGTATAAAATGATGGTGGAGTTTTAGAAGCTATGTTTAACAGGAGGTGGAAGTATTAGAATTCATTTGAGAGCAGATAGAGAATCACGCATTCTAGTGGTAAACGGAGAAAGAGGGCTTGGTGAGTAAAGGTGACACTCGGACTCAGATGAAGAAGAAATTGATCTTGAATCACTAAGACTGGGAGGTACAAGAGGAAAAGCAGCTTAGTCATCAATGAGTAAGAAAAGGAGGAAAAACAAATTTCCTCCTGTTAGTGAAAGTCTCCAAAAACACAGCTTATTCAGGATTAAAAAAATAGGAACAACAAAAGCTGTATGTAATTATTCAAGGTCTAGCTTTTTCCAAGTTTAATTTTGACTTAGCATATTAGTCACATGGTCAGGTAATGACTTTCTCCAAAAAGTGTTTGCATCTCTGAGAACTACAGTTATTCTTTCTCACAAACTTGTAAAAGAGTTTGTACTTGGAATCTTTCTAGTCTTCTAAGGAAACAAGACTATGTGGGAAGTTAGATTCAAAATTCAGACAGGAGGAGAAAAAGGAGTAGAAATATAGAATTTCTCTTATCCTCCCTCCTGTTTGTTTCCATACATACTCTTGTTTGCCTGTTTTGTTCTAAACACTTATTTTTGGCCTTATTTTATAAATCTAGGAAGGAAGCCCTTGAAGAAACCATATTTCAGAGAAGTCAAAATGTCTTCAGGACCCATGTCTGTTATCCACCTCTCCTGGCAAATAACATTAGCCTTGTTCTCTTGCTGAGAATCAGCTCCCTGGTGCCCATAAACAAAAACAAAATTAAAACAAAACAAACAAACGGAAAAACACATTGGTGGGAAGACTCATCAGATACCCTCACTGACCTGGATTTAGCTTCCTCCCATTCTTTAGTGCCATATCATGAATCCTGAATATTTATTCTTGTGAAGACTTTCATCACATCACTGTCTTTGTAGAATGTGTGCAAAGACCTGGCTGGGTGGAACATTTACTTTGCAAGTGCCTCCCTAGGGATCACCCTTAATTTAGGTCCCTCCCTTTTGCCTCCCTGTTTCTGTATTTTCCTTCCTTGTTTGTATACTCAGCCTTGGGATTGGAGGCTTTGTCAGGAGTCCTGGCATTAGCTTTTACTTGAAACCCATTGCAGGGAATGTGATTTTTATATGTCATAATAGTGAAGCAAAAGGAGACTCTGGAATCTGCAGTAGAACAGAGTCTTGGGGAAGCAAGAACTACAATCCATGTCCCTAAAACAGGAATGTGTGAATATGAGAGGGGAACAAGGCATCAGTTTCTGGGAAGTAAAGGAGTTTGCTGCATTCCACTTCTTTTCTCCAAGTCTTGATGTCTCACTGTATCCAAAGTGAACCCATTGCTCTCTCCTGGAGCTCAGGCACAGGAAAGGGAGCCACAGACATGAAGAAGTAACATACATTTCACAAAGGACCTGGAAATCAGAGTGTCAAAATTTGTCACTGTTTCCAGGGAAACAGATGTCTTAATACAGCAGTCAGTATACTGGACTGAGAGCACATCTCTGTTTCAACTAGAACCAGTTAATGAGAGCAGCTAGGTCAGAAAAACTGAGAATAGAATGAAAGAGACAAATCTTACATGTTAATTTTACATGTTGAAGCCTGGGTGCAGAGAAAATACTTCCATGGTTTAGGTACAAGGAGATGGTGACGTGGGGGACTTGATTATAATAAACCCAAGAAGAGTGGTCAGTGCAAGAAGGGAGGGACAGAATGCCAGCAGGATATAGTGTAACAGGTGAGGGCCCAGTGGAGCAGAAGACACTGGAGCTGACAGATCTGTGGGCACATGAGATTTTACAAAATTTGTGAAAATGTGCCTCATGAAAAAATTCAATGTGGCTTTAATAATTATTTAGCATTAAAAACTTATATTTTAGTTCCATGTAATGCTCAAAACTGTTATTTTATTATATATGTATATATATAATTTATATTATATTGTGATAGATATATATCACAGATCTTTAGATCTGTCATGTAATGTGCTTAGTGAAAATAAGCCAAAATTAACATATCATCTACCTTGAAGGTTCTGGGAAAAAAAAAAAAAACAACGCTTTGAAGTTCACTCAGCTTATTGGTAAAATTCAGCTCCTGTGGCTGTAAGTCCGGGTTCTCTGAAGTTTCCTTTTAAATTTTTGCTTCCAGACGATCAGCTGGGACTCTCTCTTCGCTCCTAGAAGCTGCCTGCATTCCTTTATGTGACTTCCCATATTTTAACCAGGCAACTATCTCTCAAATCTTTCTCAAATGTCAAATCTGTCCAGGTTCATAAAGAGTGTGGTCTACTTTGATAAGACGATGGTGCCAATGCCAAACAGTATGAAGTTCTAGATGACAAAGAAAGCTGATATCTAAGGGTGAGATGTCTTCATAGATCTATTGGTAGAAAAGTAGAGGAACTAATGTGAGACCACATGGCCGATCCCCGAGCAGAAACAAAACTCTCCCAGCATGCTCTCTTTAGTACAAAAATAATTTGCACCACGTTTGTAATTTTGAAAAGAGCATTTATTTATTTACTTATTTGAAAGGTAGAGTTACAGGGTAGAAGAGGTAAATAGAAAAAAAAAAAAACCCGTGAGAGAGAGAGAGTTTCCATCTGCTGGATCTCATTCCAGATGGTTGCAGAAGCAAGCCCTAGGCCAGGGGCTGAAGCCATGACCGAGGAGCTTCAGAAGTGATCCACATCGACCCGAGCTACCTGCACACATGTACCCCTTAATAAACAGCCTCAAGACAAACTAAATTTAGAGAAGCAGGATCAGACGTATGGCTGGTGTCCCCGTTGTCTCACTTCTGATCTAGAGCCCTGCTAATAACATGTGAAAATCTGCTGAAGATCACCCAGGTACTCGAGTCCCTGCCACCCATGCGGGTGACACGAATGAAGCACCTAGCTACAACCTCAGCTGACTCAGCACCAGCCATTGTGCCTAGTTGGGAAGTGAACCTGGAATTGGAAGATCTCTCTGTATCTCTCTCCACGTTCTGAACTCTGGCTTACAAACAAACAAACAAACAAACAAATCTTTAGAAAAGTTTCTCTTCCAGGAACTACTGCCCTTCTCATTATTCAGTTCTTAGCTTAATTTACACTTTGAGAAGTAGCAACAGGGAAGTCATGAAGCAACTATAGCAATTTATACACTTATGACAAATATGCTCTTTCTCGCATCCATTAGATTTTTAAGGTCTGTTTGTAAAAGGAAGATTTCTTCTATTATGAAACCTACCTGTGCTGATTTGCATTTAATGATACATGTACCCAATTATTCTAGTGGTTTTTTTAATCTTTGTCCTAAATGTTCTGATCAGTTTTTTCTTCAGATCCATAAGGGACTTCCAGACACTTCCTGCGGTAAGGAATAAACTAAGACCCTCAACACTTGAATTTTTTGCATTGGCTGTGTCCTGGTATTTTTATATCGTTGTGGTCCATACTGCCATGAGCTGGGTCTTCTCTTTTTCCTCCATCTATGGATCCCCCATCATTAAGACAAAGTAAGTTAGAGAAGTATAATTCACCTATTCTCTGGGCACAACAGGGATTGCTATTATTATAGGTTCTTGGTATCTTCATAATTTCCTGGTCCTTCAAATTGGAAGAGAGTTTAATTTTAGGACCAATTTTTTTTTTACAAGAGAGGTTAACTTTATAAAAATTAGTGCTGATGAAAATAACAGATTTATCTCACTGGACCTGTAATAAAATGGACAATATTCTCAGTATAAACAAAATGAGCTTTGTAAAAACCATTTAAGATGGAGATGGGCATGGTGGCACAGCGAATTTAGGCACCAGTTGAACCATCTGAATCCCATAATAGAATGCTGACATAAGCCCCCAGTACTCTCTACTTTCTGTTCAGCCTTCCTGTGATACGCATGGGAAGCAGAAGATGATTCAAGCACTTCTGTTTCTGCCACCTTACTGGGAGACACAGATTCCCGGCTGCTAGCTTTGACCTGGTCCAACAGTAATTGTTGATCTCTAAGGCATGAACCAGGGATTGGAAAATCTCTGTGTGTCTTTCCCTAGGTCTCTACTACTGTAACTTTCACATAAACAAGCAACTCCTTTAAAAATATGATATGTCCTTCACTTGCTTAACTTAATAAATTCACTTAGGTTTCAATGAATTAGAACTGATTTTTTTCAAGACTTATTTATTTGTCATGTAAAGACAGATTTACAGAGAGAAGGAGAGACAAAAATCTTCCATCCATTGATTCACTCCTCAAGTGGCTGGAACAGCTGGAGCTGAGCTGATCCAAAGCCAGGAGCCAGGAGTTTCTTTCGAGGCTCCCACATGGGCACAGGGTCCCAAGGTCTTGGGCCATTCTTGACAGTTTTCCCAGGCTACAAGCAGGGAGCTAGATGGAAAGTAGAGCAGCCAGAACACAAACTGTTGCCCATATGAATCCTGACACATGCAAGGCAAAGATTTAGCAACTAGCCAGTGCGCTGTACTCTAGAACCAATTTTTCTAAAGAAATGGTAAAGACAAACACACAATTGGAGTTCAAAAAGTCAAGGCCCAACAAAGGCATTTATGATCTCTGAAAGTAGCTGGTTTTCCTTTAATCTCAGAGAAATACAATGGATAGCACAGGCTAAGTTAACCAACTACTGATGTTGCTGCGGATACTGGGAATCAATATCAATGTCCTGGCATCCCCACACTTGTGTGTATTTAATTTTTCAGTTTTTCTCATCTGTTTTTGAGGAAACACTCAAAAATCCTAAGGATATTGCTCAAGTGGCAAACTCCTTCCAGAAAGAGGAGAGACAAGGATGAAGTGGTACTCTCTTGGGGATCTGAAAAGATGGCATACTCTGGGGAAATTCCTACATCTATTATAAATTCTCCAATCTTGCTCCTGTAATAGTCTCAGAGAACACAGTCTC